CCCAAAGACACAGAGCTAGTGAAAGTCATGATTTATACCGAGTATGATTACAGAAAGAAAACTTCCAAATACTTATTTTCTTGATTATTTGGTGTTGGCAATCTTTACTTGGGACTTTAATTAACCCATCATAGCAGCTCAGTGAGAAAGTCCCAGTCTTCTTCTTTTTTCTTTCTTTTTTTTTTTTTTGCGATAGAGTTCTGCTCTGTTGCCCAGGCTGAAGTGCAGTGGCATGATCTCGGTTCACTGCAACCACTGCCTCCTGGGTTCAAGTGATTCTCCTACCTCGGCCTCCCAAGTAGGTAGGATTACAGGATCCTGCCACCACACCCAGCTAATTTTTGTATTTTTAGTAGAGACAGGGGTTTCACCAAGTTGACCAGGCTGGTCTCGAACTCCTGACCTCAGGTGATCCACCCGCCTCAGCCTCCCAAAGTGCTGGGATTATAGGCATGAGTCACCGCACCTGGCCAAAGACCCAGTCTTCTTACCCTGACAACTTAACTTCTTTGTAATTGTCTCCTTCACGTCCAGTGCTTCCTTATTTTCCTATAGTCTCAAAATTGCTCATATTGAGTATATTTAAGAATGCATAGTTGGCTTTGAGACAGAGGTTTTCTTCTGATAACTGACCGGATCCCTAGGCAGGCTTTTCCACCCATGAATGATGGCAGCCTCCTCAGAGCAATTCTTTTAACTTTGTGTCTATTGGAAATAAGGCAATGTTATGCAATAGCAGGGCTTTAGCTTTGAATATATTTCGTACCTTAGCCCGGAATAGTGAAAAGACCCCTGAATGAGGTCTCAGGAAACCAGGACTCTTGTCAGCTCATCCCTGTCCTGTAGTGATGCTTTGGGAAAGTTCTGGTACTTTCTGAGTCTTAGTTTTTTCCATCTACAGAAAGGAAGCACTAGGCTATGGCTTCCAAGAGCCCTTCTAGCTCTGACACCTTATCTGCAATTCCACCGAGAAATAGCTTTTCCATGTTTGTAGAATGTTGTGGTAGGTCCTGAAAGCCCCTTGGAATGATAGGATAGTACTTGGTGTGACCTTTGCAGTAGAGGACTTGTTCTGCTCAGTGGGGCTAGTTAGATGCTTCTAAACTAGAGAATTCATACCCCAAGACCGCTTATGGATGTTGTGTGTACCCAGCCAGATGATTGTTACTGGCGTCATGACCGTAGCTGCCTCCACTCTTCACACAGTGACTGAGGTCACGGAATGTCTCAATATAGAGACACTCTATAGAAGAGATGAGGAAGTCATATTTTTTCTAAATATGGGAAGACATATTCAGAAGATTCAGAAAGAGAAATGATTCAGATTCAGACAGAAATTCAGAAAGAGAAATAAGCTTGCCTATCGTCGCGTAACATTAAGTGTCAAAATCGAGACTGTATCACAGGACTCCTGGACATCCAGCTCACCTCACTTTTACTCCACTCTGTTACCTCCCAGGATTTCTTTCATGTGACTACAAGTTACTATTTAAAAAAAGTATTTCTGGTCATAAAGGCACCTGCAGTGTCCACGACTGTTCTAATGGTGTTTGACAAAAAAGAAGATGATAGTCTTTCAGAGCACTCTGATGCGAACGGCTCTGCTGGATGGCCTGAGAAACCTCACCCTTGGAGAGATAACTTAGCTTTAGATTAATCTTCCTAGTTTTCACCTCTGGAGCTCAGGAAAGAAGGTTGGTTGAACTTGTATATTTGGAAGTGTACAACATCTCTGAGAAAGGTCCTTGTTATACTCAGATTGACTGGTTATTTAGAAATAGGGTCGCTCGTGAATTTCATGCTCAAACTTAATCTGAGGTTTCCCTAAGGTAGAAGAATATAATGTGTACTTATTAGGCAAGCTCTCTTGGCAGATTTTCATCCCCTTTGGATAAAAGCAAAATTGCACCCAGCACATAAATTGACATATGAAGCAGTAAATAATTCCATTGTGCAAGTTGTTTTAATGGACTCAATCCAGAATGCTCTATTAACCAGCACACATAGAATATTCATTGAGTTTAGAGTTTATTGTCAGGCCAGAAAAATAAGTGCTGGGGGATAATAAATGCCAGCATGCCAGCTGAGAAGGAGAGGGAGAAAGAAAATTTTAGAGGTATATTTATCTTCTATTTTTCTATTCTTCTCAATATTTTTATTTCTTCTGTTTTTTTTTTTTCCCCTATAGTCTTTTTTTGTTTGTTTGTTTGGTTTCTTTTTTTTTTTTCCTTCTTGGGCAAAGGATTAAGTACAAAAAGAAAGGAGGGTATCAGTTTTCAAATATAATCATCAAAAATCTGAGAACTAGCCAGCAGAACATTTCAGGGACTTTTCTTACTTTCCTTTTGTGAGAAAAGTTAAGGTATTAACCAATTGGGGAGTGGAGTGTTATATGCATTTGTATGAAATTGTGCTTATACAATCTCCACATGGATAAACATTCAGAAACCATAACAGCATTCCCGAAGGAATCCTTCCTTAATACAGGAAGTGGCAGTTTTGTG